CTCCCGGTGCCTCTGGTCTGCTGGGGACCGTCTCCAGCAGACCAGGGACACCGGGAGCAAAGCCGGGGAGGCGGAGGGGTGCTGGGGTATAAGACGAAACCCTATCTTAACTAAAAAATTAGGGGGTCGTCTTATACGCCCAGTAGCCTTATACGCCGGAAAATACGGTAAACTCCCTCCCCAAAGTAACCAAAATCTTGTTAACTGACATACATATCAACCAGCAACTGTCATTTAGATCCACACTCTTGGATTGTGCATGCTCATATGATTTCAGAAGCTGATTAACACGTTCTGTGAAGTTTCTCGAATCCTCAGGCCACTTACACATGCCTTTTTTGTATAAGCAATATATAGTATATCAACCTCCAATCACTGATTTATAAGTAACTATCCTAAAACAAACAACATATTAACCAGTGTGACAGGGCATCTACCTTGCAATGGTCCTTTAAGGACAAAAAACCCAGCCCTGAGTGAGGGCCGAGAGTGAAGCACCAGCTGAGGCGTAATTGCTCATTAGGGCTCAGCTGGGGGTTATATACAGAAGGGCTCCTGGAGGGAGTGAGGGAAGACTCACTCTTGCTGTGGCTAGAGAGTAGGAAGGGCCTGAATACCTGGGAGCAGGAGGCTTCCTAGAGGTACAGCAGTGCTGGAGAAGGAAAGCAGAGCTGGTGAAGCTCTGGCCAAGCAAGCTCCCAAGGCTGCAGGACCCGAAGCAAGGCCTGACACTACTAGGGCTGCAGAGAGGCAGCCAGGATAGGCAAAGGCAGCAGGTCCACACTCCCTTGCCAATGATGAGTGACTATTACAGACTGCAGTTTGCCCCTGAGGTAGGGGCTAAATGAAGACTGGCAGTGAGTCTGAGGCAAGGAGGGTATAGGGGAATTGGGTGTTACCTGGGACTGAAAGTGATGTTCCCTGGGAGGGAAGGACTCGGGAATACAGAGACTGATTAACACCACCCCACCCCCACCCCAAGGGAAGGGGGCCAAGAGTCACTAGAGTGGGCACTGCAGGAGGGCAGTGTCCTGACACTGGCAGAGGAAGGCATCCTGCAAGTATGTGAGCTAATTCCCAGTGCTACCAGAAGGAGACACTGTGGCAGCGAGTCCGCTCCATGACAACCAGACACATCTGGCTCTTCTCAGCCCAATGGAAAATTCTATTTCAAACAGCATTGTCTTCTGAGGTTTGGTTAAAAGTATTTTTCTCAAAACTTCTATGCTGAGAAAAAAAATATTTCTGAATAAGCAGTTTTGTAAGATGTGCAGAACAGTACCTCTATCACATAACTTTCCAGTGTAGACTGTGACATTTATTTCCTCTATTGTCTTGCCTTTCCATATGAACATATAATATTCTGCAAAGGTCACACTTCTACATAAAATCTCAGTAGGCAGAATGTCTTCTGTAAAGAAAAGAACACTTCAAATGATGGAAACTATACTAATGAAAGAGGTTATTATGCCCTAAGAAAGATTTTAATGTAAGATGCAATAAAAACTACCTTTAACTAAATCTTGGGCATAATAGCCTTTTTTTTAAACAAAAGCAACTCAATTTTAGTGTTGAGTTACTATATCATATCACATCACACCAGTATAGAGTATCTATGATAGATCTCCAGGCTAGAAGAGTGTACTACACAAAAGTGTATATCAACTGACTATAGGACCCAAACAGAAAGGAGGTCTTTCAAAATACCAATCTATACATCTACATGTGGATGGGGCTTGACTATTATACTTGAATGTAAATTCTTAATAAAGCCAAAAGGTTCCTTACATCTTAATTCCATTACAACAGTTGACATTTGTTCTCTAAAATTACTTTTGATCCTGGCTAAAATGTGTAAAGATTAGAGGTCTGATCCAACTGAAGTCAGTAAACCTCAAAGGGGAGATGAATTAGACCATAATGTTTTTCAATTTACATAGCACAATAACTTTAAGTTTCAGATAATTGCAAAGATCTCTTTTAAGATCTTAAATTAATCATTACCTCCTTATCTCTTTAAGAATAAGTAAGAATACATGCGTACAGAAAAGACACATACCTAGTTTAGTGATGAAATTATGCATATCTGTTACATTTCCATAGATGACATTTTGTTGGATGGTATCTGGCAAGAAAAATAGTAAATGCAACAATTCTAATTAGCAAATGAGACATTGCTTCATGTTTATAATCTTAAGTAAAGGATTTATTAAACTATAAAAAATGAGTTAGAAAATAACCCAGCAGCTCCCAGTAAAAGGCTAAACAGTTGTTACACCATAACAGGTTCCTCTGAAAGAGCACTGTTTAAATGACACAGTAAAATAACCTATTTTCCCTGAGTCACCATATTAAAATCCAGATTGATATAATGGATCCAAGCAATGCCCTCACATATGCAAGTACAACAGATAGAATTAGGCCTACATACTTTAAGCGCTGGTTATACAAATAATACACATTTTCAAAAGAGCATTAACAATACTGACACATGCTATTTTTTAATTATAATCAGATCTTTCTTAATAAAAGATAATATATGGTGTTCTGAAGGATTAATATACGGTACTTCTCCAGAACCCCAACATAGTACAAGAAGTGATGTGGGGATAGTATTTTACAGTGTAAAAAAAATGTCCTATGTTATAACTTGTATTGGAAAACTTAAAATATGCTGTTCCCATGCTGGCACAAGGGCAGGGAGTAACGTATTTCCTGGGTCTCAAATATAAAGGGAATATATTTGAGACCCAAGAAATAATTCTCTCTAAACCAGGAGAAAAAAAATGTTATAGAGCAGCTACTCATGGCTTTCTCTAAAAAAGGAGGATAGTGTCTGCCGTTGGCTGGAGAAAAAAGTTCTTACAAAAAGTCTGAAAGAACAGGAGTGCTCTCAATGCGGGCCACTACCTGAACTTCATTGAGCAAAAAGCTGTATTCAGTCACAGAAGGAAGTCATATCCCAAGCTCAAAGTCTCATATCCTGAATCTGGAAGAATGGCTAAAATGCCTTGCTAGGGAGAATTTTTTAGACAATAACATGATATCACATTGTCCATATAGTAGCAACCTTATCATCAGACTTAGGACTTTAAGATCACTATATCTATTCTTAAATCAATATCAGCACATTTTGTCAAAGCAAACAACATACCTCCAGTACCACTGTTTATCATCACATTATGAGACAATCCTTCCTTGTAAGATGACAGACTAGTAACACATTTAACATCAAAATTCTGAAGGAATGCTACTGGGGCGTTTCCAACACATTGCCCAGCCATGGATCGCTGCACGCAGTTCAACAGAAAAGAATATGAAGATGGAATTTATTCTAGCTCTACTGTTCACACTAAAAACACACTGCTATTTCATTGCATATGGCGTCAGTATTATGCCCACCTACACTTCTCTCAAAATAAATAAGTTGTTAGATCAAATGAATTGTTTATATCAAAATGAGATTTTAAAATACAGCTTTCAATAAAATTGTAATATAATTCAAGGTTTCACTTTGATCAGCTAGACCAACTATAATCAGTGACTAAAATGAAAATTCTAAAATGCAAAAAAAAAAAAAAATTGAGTACATCGGTATGGAATTAACGGAAAATAAATAGAACAAGAGTTTGGCAGTTACACAACATAGAATAATAATAATATAGAAATACATAAAAAGCCCTTAAATGTTAAATTACACCAAATTTAATTATATTTCATGATAATGTATTTTCTTGGCTAAATTCAGAATATTCATTTTATATAATAAAAATTGATGGCAGAGAGACAATTTTATTTTTAATGTGAAGTTTGTGCTAGTTAAAAAGTATATTTCATGAGTTCAAAAGAGCTAGTCAGAGAACTGCTTGTAACTGTCCTTGTTCCTATACATCAAGACAGGGGAACTGACAAATGGGGAAAAGAAAACAAAAACAAAAGCCAAATATTGCTAACATGAAGCTAGTACCTGATGAATTGTAAAATATTCATTCTCTGTTGTCATAATTGGGTCTCCTTGTTTGTATCCACGCGAAGGTTTTACTGGAACAGTTTGCAAAGGAATTTTAAATGAAGAAACTTGAGATGAAGAACTGAAAACAAATTTTAAAAAATAAATTATCTGTATATTATTTATTCAATGCAAATAATGACATCTTTCAAGTCTCCCTCACGTTACTTCTAAATCCACATATATAATCAATTAAATTAAATATCACTATATAAATTTAAATAATGCACATTTTTGAAGTGGTGGTTTTGGATAGTTCCTGTAAACAACATTATTCACATTACACAAGTAGCTTAACAACTTATTTGGCATATAACTACTCCACACATTCACTATTTTTTTTAAACTTACACAGAACCATGGTAGAAGTAACCAAGAAATGGTGTATTGTTAAGAGGAGACTGTACACACAAGAAGGGAAACCAGTCAGGAGCACTTTTTGTTGTCTGAATGGAACACAAATGGTCAAAAGGCAAGTTTACATTCCCACCAAACACTCCAGCAAAACATGATCCATTGAACAATTGCTTCAAATTTGGTGTGCATTCCTTGAAATAAAAAAGAAAAAGGAAATTATTTAACATGACAGAGTTTCTTTTTCTCTTCATTAAGGAAGCTCTCTCATGACAGGCTATATTCATACCAGGGCTATTTAAGACGTGTCTCTTAGCGCAACTCGGGGTGAAGATTAAAATGGAAATACTGACATAAATGCTGTATTCCATAATGCATTTAGACATGTCATGCTATTGTGCTGAATATGGCCTTTTAAGTGTTTTCACTACAGCAAGTTTTCCTTTTTAAACTTCTATTAAAAACCAGAGATCACTAAGTGTGCATCTACACAGGATGGCTTAACTCAAAATAAGCTACGCAAATTGAGGTGCATCAGTTGCATAACTTATTTTAAAATAATTTATTTCGAAATTGGGAGCGTCTACACAGTATTTATTTCAAAATAGAGCACTCTTCCTCTGACTTCCCTTATTCCTCGTACAATGAGTGTTACAGGAGTCAGAGTAAGAAGTCCTCCAGCTTGACAGTACTTCAACATTATTTTGAAATAACTGCCTGCTGTGTAGATGGAGACTAAGTTATTTCGAAATAATGCTAGTTATTTCACAATAATGTTGCTGTGTAGACACACCCTAACAGAAACAGTGTTGCCAGTGATATTTTCTGCCTGGGACACTTCAGGTGTGTCTAGCCTATGGGGTATTTTTAAAAAAGTGACCTTTTTTTGAAAAAACTTCCCCTGCATCTAGACTGCTGCCATGTTCTTTCAAAAGTAAATCAAAAGAAAGCGGCAGGTTTTTTGACCGTGGAAAACCTCGCTTTACGAGGAAGAATGCCTTTTTTCAAAAGTGCTCTTTCAAAAAAAGGTGCTATGTAATGCAAACTGTGCTTTTTCAAAAGAGAGAATCCAGACTCCCTAGGTGCTCTCTTTCGAAAAAGCAGCTTGCTTTTTCAAAAGTACTGGTTGTAGCCTAGATGCTCTTTCGAAAGAGGCTTGCAGTCTAGATGTAGCCTTCTTGTGACTGAAGTCCCCCATTTAAATTGTTTTATAGTGATGTACTTACTCTTCAAAGTCTGAGACCATCAATATTAACGTACAATATTTTAACATAATTTTGCAAGTATTTTAGTGAACTTTTCTGTATTTCCTAAGCATACTGGTAACATAAAACTTTAAAGGGAATAACTTTAAAAAGTTAAATGTGTAAACAGTACCAGGTCACAGCAACAACGAATATCACAAGTTCCAGCTGTCAGGTTACAAGGACAAGAGCCAAGGGGCTGAAACACTTGGTTAGGGATTACTGTTGCATTTTCTATAAAAGGATAATAAAAAATAAAATTAGGCTACAAAATTATCATTTTCATTCACAATGCAATCCACTACTTGGAATTACATTCTTTTTAAAAAGAAAAAGTCTGCTTTAAAGGTTATTCCTACCCTTTTTAAAAAAAAAAGTATACTGACAATTATCATTTTATTGCTGTTTTATCTACTATTTTCCCATTGCTTTACATTTTGGGCCCACTCCATTACAATGAAACTCACTAAAGCACTTCTCTACAACAGGCAACTCAGTTGGAAAGATGGCTAAACTAAATCAGATATTCGCTATCAACATCACTATATTTTAATCATCAATTTTCTTCTGTTTAAAAAAATTATCATGACTTGAAAAATTAAAACAATTACTACTAGTTTGCTTCACAAGCAATGGAACTGCAGAGATAGGTTAGCTTGTAATAACCTTATAAAATCAATTTTGCAAATGCCCAAAAGACACAACTGCAGACCAAAAAACCTACAGGCAGTCCCCGGGTTACGTACAAGATAGGGACTGTAGGTTTGTTCTTAAGTTGAATCTGTATGTAAGTCGGAACTGGCGTCCAGATTCAGCCGCTGCTGAACAAGCAATGGAACTGCAGAGATAGGTTAGCTTGTAATAACCTTATAAAATCAATTTTGCAAATGCCCAAAAGACACAACTGCAGACCAAAAAACCTACAGGCAGTCCCCGGGTTACGTACAAGATAGGGACTGTAGGTTTGTTCTTAAGTTGAATCTGTATGTAAGTCGGAACTGGCGTCCAGATTCAGCCGCTGCTGAAACTGACCGCCA